GAGCAGAGTCCTGCTCCTGCACCCTCACTGCTCTGAAGGTCCTGCTGCAGACCCCCAAAATGTCACCAAAGCAGGGCTTTGCAGGGAGAAAACCGCTGGCTGGTACAAGAGACTGTGACTGATGGAGCAGCTCTGCTGGGAGAATTGGGATTGCTCAGCCTGGAAAGGAGAAGCTTCAGGGTGACCTTACTGTGCCTCTCCAGTACCTGAAGGAGCTGCAGGGAGGATGGAGAGGGTGGATTTACAAAGGCCTGGGGTGCCAGGACACGGGGAGTGGCTTCCCCCTGCCAGAGGGCAGGGCTGGATGGGATTTTGGGAAGGAATTCCTCCCTGCCAGGGTGGGCAGGCCCTGGCACAGGTGCCCAGAGAAGCCCCTGGATCCCTGGCAGTGCCCAAGGCCAGGTTGGATGGGGCTTGGGGCAAGCTGGGATGGTGCAAGGTGGCCCTGTCCATGGCAGGAGGTGGAATGAGATGTTCCTTAAGGTCTCTTCCAGCCAAAACAAATCCAGGGTTCCGTGTGTCCTTCCCAGCCCAGCCCAAACCTTCCCCAGCCTTCCCAACATCCTCGTGGCTGCAAACATCAAACACTTCAAGATTATCAGCAGAATTAATGACAAACCTGCAGTGGACACAACTTTGTCTGTCCTCAAACAGAGTTTTAGCTTTTATAAAGGAAAGATCTACATTTTGCACCCTGCAAAGTGTCCCATGTAACCAGGGCCCCTCAAACCGAAATCCAGGCAGCAGCAAAAATGACAATAAATTTCCAGTGCTGCAGAAACTTCTGTTCATTTCTGTAGTGCAAAACCACAGCCTGCCCTCCCTGCTCTCTCTGCTATTAGTTTTTCTACATTACTGTCCCATGAAAGACTCAAAACAGCCTGCAAGAAATAGTGAAACCAATAAATCACCCCAAAGAAACACCCCAGGGGGAAAGCACAGAGGGTTTTGCTGACCTTTCTCTCACTGGTGTGAAGTTCTGCTTACAGGAATAAAAGATAAAGTATTTCCCATTAGAAATGTGAGTTTTGAGTATAGTTCATCTCTGCTTGCTCTGGAATATTCAATTATTCATCCAACATCAGGCAATAAAAAGATTTAGCAAGGATTGCAACAAGATGGAAATTCATCCTGCACCTCACAGCTTCTGGGGACACGAGTGTCACACAAGACTCCCATGCTTTTAACTTTATTTAGCTGGAAAACTGGGAATTTCCCCATGGAATGGGGGGAAAACCTCAACCTGCAGGTCTGAAGCTCTAAGAAGAAGCACCAAAAAGGATAATACCCGAGTCACCCCCTGTGTAAAACTGCTCTGACAGCTGAATTTTATTTTTTTAGCTGAAAGCAGGTGCTCTCTTTGGGGTGAAGGCAGAATTTTGCTGTCACAGAGCACTGACGAGAGGAGCAACACCAAGGTTTTATCGTCCCAATCTGTACAAACACCACTTTTTGGTAACCAGACAGGTAAGGGTGACGATTTTCACAGTAAACCCAAAGTCTCCGTGCAGCTCCACCTCCAAAAGTCATTTAACTGAAAGGATTTTGCAACAGCAGCTCATGAAATTTGCTTTAAGAACTCCTAAAATTCTGGACTCATCTTCCTCCAGCCAAGAAAACTCATCCTACTTCAAACCTGAGCCTCAAATCCACCTTCCTCTGAAACATAAACAGGAATGTCACAGTTCACTGGGACACATTTCATTTCTCAGAGTTCACAGACACCCTCCATGTGCATGAACCACCAGGAAAAGCCACCAGAAACACCTGACGTGCTCAAGGAGCATCAATTAAAAAAGAAAAATCCATTCCCACAACTCCCACTGATTCCCTAATTCTGTAAATTGCCTAAAATGCTACAGAGGAAGAAACCAAGTTCTGTTTTGCAAACTGAGTAGAGGAAGGGTCTGAATGATGTTTCATCACTGAAATATTGTAAGAGCCAATGGGTTATATTTTTATAACATCAGAAATCAAGAATATTTGACACAGAATTTTATTCTCAAATAGTGACAGAAGTCAAATTCTGACATTTACAAATTGTACAGAGAAAATTCAAAACGTTTTCTTAAATGATGCTTAAGTAATCTGGGGGAGTTTGGGGTCCTCAAAATCAGCTGCTTTCAGCAGTGAAAATATTATTTACCTAAATTTGCCATTAAGACACTTGGGAGAAAATTTGCTCACCCAGAAAACTGACAGAACTCCATTTTTTCCCCTCAGAAATCAGTAAAAGGGCAGCACATCCGACCAGAGAGCAGGTGAGCAGTCTCCAGTCAAGGTGCCCAGTCAGTGCTCCAGATTCCATTCCACAAACACACAAAATTATTCCTTAAAACTCCAGGAGCACTTTCCTCACAGGATTTCTCCCACTCCCAGCCTGTACAGGAACATCCCCTGACAGGAGCTTCAGAAATAAACGCTGCAGCCTAAAAACGTCAATATTCTATCCGCATCAGGGATCTGATGGCCGGGAGAGAAAAACACCCCAGAGATCATTTATATCATCATTTCTATCATTTACACCGCCCTGGATCCACCCGATCCTCACTGAGCGCTGGAAGCCAAGGCTCAGAAACGGATCTGGGGGAAAATTCACAGAGGGCAGGTAACGACGCCCATTGACGGCGGTTTAGTTATCGATAAAGCCGAGTTGGTCAGCGGGCAGGGCTCGGGGACGCGGTCCCGCTGGCCGGAGCCTCTCGGCAGCCCAGAGCACCTTTCCCCCGTTCCCGAGGGGAGCGGGACCCTCGTCAGCCCCAGAGCACCTTTCCCTTTCCCCCATTCCCGAGGGGAGCGGGACCCGGGGCTCCCCTCGTCACCCCCCAAAGAACCTTTCCCCCATTTCCGAGGGGAGCGGGACACGGGGGCACGCGGGACCCGGGGCTCCCCTTGCACCGCCCAGAAGCTTTATCCGCCCCGGCCCGGCCCGGCAGCAGCCCCAGGCCGCAGGGCAGCGCCTCAGGCCCGGCTGCGGGGGGAACTCCCCGCGGTTTCCGCAGCGGCCGAGGCCGCGGCCTGTGCCCGTCCTCCCCTCACGGCCCGCGGGGGCGGAGGGTGGGGGGGGAAGAAGCGGCAGCGGCGGGCGGGCCGAGGGAGCGGGAGCAGGGGGGAGGACGGGGCGGCCTCCTGAGCCCGAGCTTACCTCAGAGCCCCGCGGGGCCGCGCGTGCGGAGCGCCGGAGCCGCCGCCGGGTCCCGGCCCCGCTCCCGGCCCGGTCCCGCCTCAGGGAAGCGGCGCCGGCGGCGGGGGCGGGCCGCGACCATAGAGTGCGCGCCCAGGGGCCCCCGCCATAGAGCCCCAGCGGCGCGGAGCGCGCGGGCGCCGGGCTAGAGCGGCCGCCTGGAGCCGGCCCCGCCCGGCCGCGCCACGGAGAGCAGCGGCGGAGCGCCGCCGGCGGGCACGGCGCGGCAACAGCGCCCCCGCCGGCGGGAGGCCGCGCTGCGCCGCGCTCTGGGCTGGGGATCGCCGGGAAAACCCCGAAACTCCCGAAATTCCCGATATTCCCGAAATTCCCGATATTCCCGAAATTCCCAGCACCCCGCGCCCAAGCGTGGGCAAAAGGCGGTGCAGCCGGGTTTTAGCGGCAGGGCCGAGCGTCTCTGTGGCCGTTCCTCACCCCCTCAGTGCGGGGTTTTTAAGGAAGTGGCACTAAAGGGCTTCGACCCCTCTCGGGGTTATTTATTCCACAGAGGATTTTAGGATCACAGTGTGAAAAATGCATCTGTTATGACTGGCTTTTCGCAAATATTACAGTTAATATTATATGTGTCATGTTAGAAAGTTATGCTGTATTAATTCTCTTAAGTAGTGTGTTAAATATAGTTTTAGGTTACAACATAATGTTAAAATAGAGACTGTGTATGTAGGGAGAGTTTTCTTTGTAGGAATGAGGTACTCGCTCTGAGGAACACCTAAATCTTCCAAAGCAGAGGAATTTATGGCTTCTTATCAGAAGAAGCTAATTTCTTCAGGCCTTGCTCAGACTCGAAGAGCCATGGGGATTAAAGGAAAGTTGAAAAACAACAGACAGTTCTTGTTTTAAATAAAATGTATGCATAACCACGAAGGATATATAAATATGCAACAGTGTATTGTTTTAAGGTGATTCCTTTGTTCACAAGACATGCTTTTGGTGACTTAGTGTCCGAGAGCATCCGGACGTCGGTAATTCTTTGCTTTTTATTATCTTGTAATTTTCTTAACTCTAAACTTTATTACTCTAATTGTATTATTATTATTATAACCATTTTATTGTTATTAAACTTGTAAAAGTTTAAAAACCAAATAATTGGAATTTTTCACAAGAGTGAGGTTTTGGGATCCAGCCGGGGGCTCCCTTCATGGGACAGTTCCTCAGCCATCACTGGGGAGCTCAGGAAATTCAGTGTTCCCTGAAAAGCACCAACTGCAGCCAAGCACCTCTAGGGACAGGAACGGGATTTTTTACAGAATCTGGGAATTCCTGAACTTGAAAAATCCCTCTGAGACCACGGAATCCAACCTTGTTCCCAGAGCACCGAGCGGCACCTGCAGGGATGGGCACTCCAACCCTCCCTGGGCAGCTCTAATTCCAATTTCTAATTCCAATTTCCATGGGGAAATCCCTCCTGATTTCCCTGGGATAAATCCCAACCCCCCCCCCAGCTGTCCCTTCCTGTCAGGGCGTCGTGCAAAACCAGAAATTCCCCCTGATCCCCCTTTTCTCCAGCTGAGCCCCTTTCCCAGCTCCCTGAGGATTCTCCAGCCCCTTCCTTAGCTCCACTCCCTGCTTTGTTCCCAAAAATTCAGATTCCCAAAGTCACAGGTGCAGGACACTGCCCAGCCCAGCTCCTTCACACCCCCAGAGCTCCAACACCTCTCCACACAACTGACAAAATATAAAAATATAAGATACTTACAAGTTCTCCCTAAGCCCAGGATCAATTTTAACCCACGTTTTCTTCCTTAAAAATAAAATTCCTTCATGGAAACAGCGCTGGAAGGACTCAACAAGCAACCAGGCATCAATATTTATTAACACAAGACAAAGGAAACACAATCAATGCGTTAATGGGACACTGTCCAGCCAGGTGTTAAATTTAAAAATGTAGCTAATCTAACTTTAAATAAATAAAACCTTTATACATAATTACAGAATGCCAGAGTCTGGATTGGACAATGGGAAAGAGGTTGACAGAAATAAAAGCAAAAAAAAAAAAAAAAAAGCATCTAGGGCTAAAATTGATCTGGTTTTTATAACATTATTTTAGGACAGTTAGTAGGACACAGCTGACTTGATTTAAACCAGAAATGAAGTGCAAATTCTAACAAAAAAGGACAAACCTGCCCCGTTCCCACAGCATTTGCTCAGAGAAGATTCAGCAACAGTGAGACACACACAATACACTTCAGTCCAGTGGGAAGAATTCCCAGTTTTTCACTTTCACTGCAGTTAAGCTGGAACCCAAGGGCAAAAAAAAGGGAATAATGTGCCCTGTGCAACCCCAGCAGCTGCAGTCACACTGGAGGGAGAGGCTGTTTTTTGGGAAAAACACCAAAACACCCAGCCCTGCTCACCTGCCAATGTCTGGAGTGAAGGATTTTGCTTTGTTCCCCAAAAATATGGAAAGATCATCCCCAGCTAGAGAGGAATGACCTGGGGAAGGCTCAAATCCTGAACAGAGCTGGAATTTTGGGGATTCCAGAGCCCCAGCTCTGTCCTTCCTGGATTTATAGAAAATTCTCAAAGCACTCAGGGAATTCAGGGAAGCCAAACTGAGCAGCGTCCCTGGAACTTTCTCTCATCCCATGGGCTGTGTCCTGCACTTCTCCAGCACACAGAAACAGAATGTGCTGGAAGATTTGGAGCACACAGGGAACCTGCAAGATAAAAAACTCAAACCATAGGAAGCTATCAGTACCTATCCAAACCAAAAAATAAGGGGGAAAAAAACCAAAAGATCAATCCAGTCACAATCAAAAACGCCATTTCAGGAATTTCACCTGCCACATTTGATGGAATTCATTCACATGTTGTTTTATTTGTGAAAAATCATGAATAAAAATAAAAGACAATCCTGGAATTGGACTTAAAATCTACTTCAGTGGACAAAAAAATGTTTGTTGAGACAATTTATCTAAAGGCTTGAGTAAAGGAAAAGGTTCAAGACCACCAGTTTTCCCTGGAAAGGTCACACTGGAGTGAAGCTGCTTGGCCAGGCCTGGGCTGTGCAGGAAACACAAAAACAGTGACAAAACACAGAAAACCAGGAATTTTCTGGCTGAAAATGCACTTTACACCCAAAATTAGCTGCAGGACCAACTGGTTTAGTCTTTGACCTGCCACGGTCCCCACTTTGTGTTCAATTTGTTAAAACTAAATATACTGAAGGTTTTATGCATGTTCTGCAGTGTTGGCTGATACTGTGGAAAACACAGACAAGGTTCCCAAACGTGCCCCTGAAACCCAAAGTGTTTGCAAAGAACCTTAAGTCCAGACCTGCCACAAAACTTCCAGTTCCTATTCCCCCACCAAATATTTTTCAAAAATACCATTTGAAACTTCTGAGTTTTAAAGCTCCTGCTTTGTGAGGAGCCACGAGGATGCAGCAGGAGCTGTTCAAGGACACAGCTGGGGTTTGCTCGTGGATCCACTGGACTCTGTTCCAGTAACTGCCACAGGATATTCCAAGTCCACACCATCAACCTTTTAAAAACTGCCTAAAAACTTCACGTGAGGTAATCTGGAACATTTGAAAAGTTTATTTACACTGTATTCCACATCTGACTCAAAAAAAAAACAAAACAAAAAACCCTGTTGCAGGATCTGGTAGCAGCTCCCAAGGCTTCCAAAATCATACAGTAGCACCCAGAGAAGTGTAATTGCTGTTAAAAGATGAAGAATTAAAAAAAAAAAAAAGATAATTTTGAGTCAAAGCTCAACCATCAGCTCACTCCCAGCCCTGCTTCGTAGCAGGAAGAGCTTGGACCTGCTGCTTTCAGGTTCTCTTTCTTCCCATTCCCTAACGCTGGAGCTGACACAGGCTGGCATAGGAGTTTTCACAATGTTATTTAAAAATGTGTTTGCCAGAATTACTGGATCCTCCAGTAAAAGAAAAATTGTGTCTTGACTTAACCCTGGAATTCTTTCAGGGAATGCTTTGAGGAGAGCATTTTTTGGTTGCTCCCAGTTTCCACTAAAACCTCTTCACAGCAGTTCAGGGAGCTGAAGGAATCCCAGAGGAATGGCAAAAGCAGGGAATTCACTGGGATTTCCTTTCCACACCTGGAGCCACAGGATGAGGCTGTCCCTCAGCTCCTTCCTTGCCCTGCCATTTCTCCCCAATTCCATGCTGAATTCAGCCTCCTGGAGAAAGATGTGCCTCAAAACCAAAGGGCTCTGGCCAGAATAAAGACACAAATGAAATCAGAAACCTGGGGAAGATGGGAGCATCTCACATTGAGTCTAAGCCAATGCCAGGATGCTGAGGACCACAAAAGTCACCTGTCCTTAAAAACATCAACCTTCAGCTGTCCTCACTAGCCAAGTTAATTTGCTATCTAAGTGAATTATGTATAATAATATTTACATATTTAAAATATAGGCAAAAATTCTTTTTAAATTCCAGAAATCTCTATATGAATAAGTAACTCTGATTCTGTAAGTTATTGATTTGGTCATGGCACAATTGTCAATAAGTTGTGTGATCCCGTGGGATGAACAGCTCCAGATACAAATGAGATCATGGAGTAGGGAACTGCAGAGCTCTGATGACCCTTTTTCTTAATAGTTTATTATCTTAACTAAATAAACCCACCCCTTATAGAATCCTAACCCGGGATTAGATAAAAATACAAATATGTACAACGGGTGAAAAAGTAACACTACTGTAAAGGCCTTGGGAATTGGGTAGCTCACACACTTTCCCCCTTTGCAGTTCTCTAAAGCTCATGGTTCAGTAAACTGTTACAAACGTTTGCTGTTGCTTCCCCCATTTCCTTCACCCCAGCAGGACCGAAACCCCCAGGACAGGAGGGAGGGAATGTGGCAGCAACCTCAAACTTTAGCTCAAGTATTAGTAATTTTCACCAGCTTCTCTTGCACAAGCACCCTGATCACTCTGCTCCCCTCACATGTTGTAGGCCACGTAGATGGGGTCCAGCTGATCCGCCAGGAAACTGTCCCGGAGGTGCATCCGCTGCTTCTCGCCTCGGGAATTGATGGGGATGACTCCAGGGTCCACCACCACCACCACCCCCACAATCAGGTAATGCTCCTCCAGGACCACGTTGGTGACCAGAGGAACCAAATCCAGAGCCTCCTGCTCGCAGCCACACAGCTCCACCACCACCACCAGCAGGTTGGTCCAGGTGAACACAGCACTGAAATGACAGGGGAAAAACGACACAAAAACCAAGTTACTGCCACAAAGATCCAAAGTTTCCAGTGCTCTATCCTTACATGGATACCACCTCCTTTTTGGGTTGTATTTCCAACCTAACTGCAACATGACTTGGTCCTGATGTGACAAAAATCAGACATTTCTCAGCAATACCTGTATGAGACAGGAACCCAGTGCTGCTGTCACCAACTCAGAAATGGCTCTTTACACCCCAGAGAAGGAAATCACCATTTCTGTGTTGAACTAAGGCTTATCAGAAAATATAGAATCTATTCTCATCTGCAGAAGTGAAATCAGGTGTATGAACTGCTGATGGCAACACAAAACCCCTGAATTTCCCTACTTTTTTTTCAGATAAAACCCTACATGTTTGCCTAAACTGCTACATTTCAGCTGGTTTAGGACGGCCCCACTGCCCAGGACTGTTTTACCATTCAGCAATGCTCCTGTGGGTCCGGGACACCGAGGTCTCGATGTCGATGGGGTGGTACCGCAGCCCCCGCAGCTCCAGGGTCTCATCCAGGGCTCCCACAACGTACAGGGCATCGTGGCGCTCTGGGGAGAGAGCAGAGGAGGGGAAATAAATGGAATTTTGATTAAAAAAGCTTCTCCTCTCCAGCCTGAAGGCAGCTCTGCAGGTGAGGTCTCACCTGAGCAGGGCAGAGGGGCAGCCCCTCCTCCCCTGTTCAGGGGGTTCCTGGGGCATGTCCAGCTCCTAAAACCCTTCTCCCCAGGGCTGCTCCCTCTGCTCACCCCCAGCCTGGATCAACCCAGGTGCAGCCCTTGGTTCAATCACACGAGAGTCCCATGGGAATGCCCAAGCTGTCCATGTGAGCAGTGCCCAGCTGCAAGCCCTGGTTAAACCACATGGGAATCCCATGGGAATGCCCTGTGAGCTGTGCCCAGGTGTAACTCCTGGTTCAACCACACAAGATTCCCACGGGAATGCCCAGGCTGCCCGTGTCCCTGAGAGCTGTGCCTAGGTGGAACCCTGGATTAAACCACATGGGAATCCCACGGGAATGCCCAGGCTGCCTGTGCCCCTGCCCCTGTGAGCTGCGCTGAGGTGCAAGCCCTGGTTAAACCATGGGAATGCCCAGGCTGCCCCTGTCCTCGTGAGCTGTGCCCAGCTGCAAGCCCTGGCTAAACCACACAAGCTTCCCATGGGAATGCCCAGGCTGTCCATGTCCCTGTGAGCCGTGCCCTCCCACGGGAATGCCCCGTGTCCCCGCCCCGGTGCCAGCCCCACCTCCGCTGGCCGCCGTCAGCTCGGTGCGCCGCACGAAGCCCAGGTAGCCGGTGCGGGCCCAGAGCGTCTGCGCCGCGTCGCCGAAGCTCAGGCGGGTGTTGAAGTGGTCGGCCTGCAGGGTCTCGTTGTCGTAGATGGTGTAGTAGCCACTGGCCGTGTGGGGGCTGTTCACCCAAATCTGTGCACGGAGGGGGAAAAGGCTCAGACCCCCACGCTGCCCACCTGGAGAAATCTGCCCAGTGGAGGCGTGTGGCAGCACATTTCGCTCCCTCTCAGGATTTTCCATAGAGGAGCACAGAGAGAAATGAAAGAGAAAACAATTTCTATTTCTGCTCCTTGTTTTTCCCATGTGGAATGTGTTTGGAGAATTGTTTACCTGGGGTGAGTGCTTGGTTGGATTCTGGTGAGGATTGTTTGAGCCTGATGGCCAATCCAATCCAATCCAACCCAACCCAACCCAACCCAACCCAACCCAACCCAATCCAAACCACCTGGGGCTGGACTCTCAGAGAGGGTCACGAGTTGTGTTAGAGTCAGAGAAAGTAGTGTGTAGTTTTAGTATCCTCCTTTTATATAGTATATTAATGTATTTTAGCATAGTTATAATAAAGAAATAATTCAGCCTTTGGAATTGAGTCAGAAATCGTCATTTCCTCCCATTGTGTTCACCTGCATTTACAATAGAGGGGGTAAAGGAATTGCAACAACAAGGTTCTGGTTTTATCTGTGATTTTTCAGATCAGAAGAATTCATCTCGAACTTCCAAATACTCTGCAGAATCTTAGAAATACACTTTGAGATGTAGTCTTGCAGTAACTGTAACTGAGGATTCACTGGTAAATAAATTGTGGATTTTTAACATGTCAAGTTCAAAACTGGATAATAATCCATCAACACAAATGAATATTCTGGTGTGTAATCAAAGTAGGAAAAGCCAAATGTAAATTATACTCTTTGGGAGCCAGTTTGCAAGATTTAGGGTAGAACAAGCTTCTTCTCAAGTGGATTTTCTTTAAACTTGACAGTGAAATAATACCCAAATTGTGAATGCTCCAGCGATAATTCATCTCACAAAGGCCTGTATCATAGCTCCAAACTGTCCCCCAGCAGAGAAAAGCCCAAGGAGCAGCTGGAAAAGGTCCCCAAGGAGCAAAACCTGCACTTACCTCCCCAAGGTGAGAATCTCCCAGAGGCCCTTTTGTCTCTGGGTTGACAATGACCACTTTGACTCCAGGCAGAATCTAAAGAGCACAAGAAGGAAATGTTGGATTATCTCCAGCAGAATAAAACACACAGGCTGGTCAATCAGGGCAGGATTTCACCCGTGGACATCACAAACTGGGATAAAACAGGCCAGGACAGGTACAGCAAGGCAAGATCAGGGTATGGATGTATTCCGTGGCTCCAGGGTCACACAGGTAAGATATTCTGACCTTGATTTTGAAGAATTCAGCTAAAAACTACAGGAAAACCTCTTTCTGTTAAGATGTGAGAGAGTAAGAGCTACAGTAAATCCCAAATACAGCCTGATTTCAAGAATACCATAGCCCACAATTCTCATATGGTTCATTTACTGTAAAATGGACCAAGTCCTACAACAGTTCCAGCAAAACACACTCCTAAATCAACAGGTAATTCCTTAAAAATCCAACTGACTTTCCAGAGGGACAGTGTGCCACCCCCTCCCATGGCACAGGGCTGTCCTTCCCAGCTACAAAGGCAGTGGGAAGTGGGGACACGTGGAGTTACCTTTCCAGACTCAGAGAGCAGCAGGCTCTGCGGAGCTCCTCGTTCCACCAGACGGACTCTGAAGGTCAAAAAGAAACATTGTCAGGGAAAAAAAAAAACCAGAGCTGAAGTGTCTGGAGTGATGTGAAAACTCAGCACCACTGCAGGGCTTTATACAGTTCATGAATTGGTTGAAGTGAACTTACAGTACCTGTCATGTCTCAAGGATTTCAGGTCTACATACACCGTGGTGGGATCTGGCCCCGATGTTCCCTGAGGAGTTAATAGTTAAAAACCATCAATAATAATTGATGTATTTAAAAATATGTAAAATATTTAAAAATACATCAATATTTAAAATACATCAATACTTAAAAACACATCAATATTTAAAAATACATCAATAATAATTGATGTGTTTAGAGCAGTCAGGGTAACTTCTGCCCGAGCCCAGAAACATTTCCAGGGGTTTCTTGCAGCAAAATTCCTACCCATATTCAGCATGCTCATATTACTCAATAAACTCATACTGCAGCTGCACCCTTCAGGAAGCAGGTGACTTTTTGGAACACCTGTGTGGGAAGGAGCCTTGGGGAGGGGGGAGACACCCCAAGGCCTCTCAACCACCAGCCTGGAGCAACCAGGCACTGTTTATGTGGGAATAAACGGCTCAAGATTCACGTTCCACTTGTTTTGAGCATCTGTGATACGATTTGGCAGCTGAAAATGAGAGAAGCTGCTTCAATCTTGTGCCAGCTGTTCTCTACAGGGCAGATACCGGGCTTCAGAAATGTGTGCAGATGGGTGTGACAAGCACATTTCTCTCCCTCTCAGGATTTTTCATAGAGGTGCACAGAGAGAAATGAAAGAGAAAACAATTTCTATTTCTGCTCCTTGTTTTTCCTATGTAAAATGTGTTTGGAGAATTGTTTACCTGGAGTGAGTGCTTGGTTGGATTCTGGTGAGGATTGTTGGAGCCTGATGGCCAATCCAACCCACTGGGGCTGGGCTCTCAGAGACGGTCACGAGTTGTGTTAGAGTCAGAGAAAGTAGTATGTGGTTTTAATATCCTCCTTTTATACAGGATATGGATGTATTTTAGCATAGTTATAATAAAGAAATAATTCAGCCTTCTGAACTGAGTCAGAAATCGTCATTTCCTCCCATTGGGTTCACCTCATTTACGATAGATGGGGAGTGTGGAACCCAACCCAGCCTGGCACCTGGAACGTGGTGCCAGCGCCAACGAGGAGAAGCCTCACCTGTAAGCAGATGGCCACGTTGACCCGTGAGCCAAAGGTGGTGCTGACGGCTCGGGAGGAGAGCCCGATGTCCTTGAAGAGTTTGGAGAAGGAATGGGTGAGGGAAACGCGCGGCCGCTCCTCCGCCACCACCACGCAGGTCCGGACACAGGACAGGTTAATGCCTCGGGCCTGCACACAGACATGGGGCAAAGGCTGCAGGGCTTCATCTGCCCCCTTCAACAACTTCTGTTTGCTTCTTAGCCCTTGGAATGACTCAGGAAACGCAGGACAAACTCAGGCTTTGGGTTCTGAGTTACTTTCCCTCTTTCTGGTTCTGTTTGTAATTGTAAATTGTGTCTGACCAGAGGCTGGAAATGCAGCCAGAGCAAGACTGAGCTGACAGAGCTCCCTGCTCTGCCCCAGCTCTCAGCACAGCTGCTCAGCTGAGATTACACCCCTGAGTCACTGCTTGTCCAGATGCAAACCAAGCCCAGGCAGAATAAAGTCATCCAGTGGGATTGCACTGACTTTTCAACAGCCCTGGCACCTGAATCCATGACTATTTATTTCTGTGGTGAATGCTCTGAGCAGCACCAGGCAGGAGCTCCCACGTGCTGCTCACCTGGTGCCACAGCCCAGGCACCTGCAGAGCTCAGTGCCAGCCACAGCTTTGATCTCACAGAGCCACTGTTCCAGGAAATCCCAGGGGAAAAGCCACCTCGGGCATGGCATGGAGCTATTCTTTCCCTTCTCTCATCTCCAAGGAGAACACACCTCCACTGAGCAGCTCTCCTGACATGTGCTTTCCGTCCTGTGCTGGTCTGAGCTCCGCTGCAGACTGTTACATAAGGAATCTGCTGCAGAGCAGCACGGGGATCCTCCTGCTCAGGGCTGCCCTGACATCCCCTGCCAGGTGCTCCCTGCTCCTCCCCAGTCCTCTCCTCCCCCAGAGAGATTTGCTTCTGGAGATTTGCTTTTGGAAATTTGCTTTTGGAGCACCTCTGGAGAGGCCTGGAGATTTGTGCAACAGGGAAATTTGTATTTAACAATCATATCACTTTGCTTTACTACCAGAGTTTCCTTAATTTACATAACGTAACACTCAGGAAATGTTTCTTACCTTTAACATTTCAACTTGGTTTCCAAGTCCCTTTGTACACAGTTCCATGACTGAATAGGAACAGAAAGTGTCCCTTATTTTATACTGGCTGACAGTAGATAACCAGAGAAAAAGATTGGATTCCAGCTCCATAGGAGGAATTAAAATTGACTGATGTCCAGAATACACACTGTGAAGAACATTAAGGAAGAAAACATTTTAGTGAAGCTTGTAGTTATCTTTAAATTAATATTTACTGTATCTGCACATTACATTCATGCTAGTCCAAAGACAGGTTGGGGAACTGCAGCTGAGGCAAACTGGAGCAGCAACATTTTAAAAATGCAACTTACTGTACAAGAATAACAATTTATCCACACACTGACAGTGAAGGAAGAGAACTGGCTCAACCCCACAGCGAACAAAAACTGCCTTATTGCAACACGTAATCAAGGAAGGAAGGGAAAAGAAACATTCTGAAGCCAGGAAGATTTGGCAGCACAAACACACGTAATCAAGATGGGATAACATCTCGCTAATCTGCAGCAAAAGGGAACACAGACCACGTTTTATATGGGGCAATTCAGACTTCATGCAGGAGTAGGCTGTAAAATAAAGATGACTAAAACTGAGGTGGTTACTGAATGTAATTGAGCTCTTATTTTGTGTAAGTAATAAGATAAATTATTTCAAGTGTACCAGACTAATAGATAAGTACATAGATGCTGTTGTCAGCTCCAAGACAAATTCCCCCCTCACTGTAAATGACGTTTTTCTGTAATTACACCCATTTCCCATTTACAACCAGCCAAGAGTTAAGCTGCCCCTCTCCCCACACAAAATCCTACCTGCAAAGGCACCAGAGCACAAATCCCAGGCCGCAGTAGGGGTCCAGACAAATGGCAATCTGCCGGGAGGAGTAGAGCTCGCACTGCAGCTTGATGGCCCTGCACAGGCCACTGACAGCAGCGTGGGACATCTGCAACACAGGGGACACTGCTGGGGCTGGCCGAGCCCAGGACATCGCTGTGCCTGCCTCCAGACCCTGGCAGGGGCTCACAGACCTTGACACAAACTCAGAAACACCGACAGCTTCGAGTTTACCCCTTAGAAAAAGCTGCCACATTTGCATGAAGAATTACAAGCCACAAAAGTCTTGAGTGGTGTGATATTTTGTGTTAACACAAAGTGGAAAAGTAGAATTCTTGAGTTTTTAGACTAAAATTCAAGTAGTCAAGATAGAAAGATTTACATGTGTCATATCCTTCTTCTTCTTCTTGTCCTCCATGTCTTACACATTTCAGACTACTTTAACTGCACGGGATGGGAAACAAAGACTTTGACAATCTTAGGGCATCCCAACATCGCAGACCCTGAGAGGGGCCCAGGGCACCACCCAGGCATCCCCCAGGTGAGAGCAAAGGCAGTTCTTGGGGGGCTGGTGGGCAGGCAAGGCTGGGGTTGGGCTCCTGAGCTTCCACAGCAGATGCAGAGACTGCAGAGCTCCGACACCAACAGCTAAACTTGAAACTGAGTTCTTTGAGTTGCACCTCAACATGAGGAAGAACTTTCCACGGAGGCGGCAGAGCACTGGAACCGCTGCCCCGGGTGGTTGTGGAGTTCTCCTCTCTGGAGACATTCCAAACCCACCTGGACATGCTCCTGTGCCACCTGCTCTGTGTGACCCTGCCTTGGACTGAGGGATCCCCAGAGGTCCCTTCCAACCCTGACCATCCTGGGATTACAACTCCAAACACACGTGAGCCTTAATAACAATCTGAGGCTTTCCTTTTTAGTTTCTTATCCTCTTTTTTCTTGGTGGGGCTCAGAGCTCTGCTGCTCTCCCAAGGCAGCTCTCCAGGGGGAGGCAGGAGCAGAATTCCTGATCCCACTGCGCAGACCTGTCTCCCTCCTCAGCAGAACTCGGTGAACTGAAGCCCACAGCTTTGTTAGAAGAAAATCAGAGTCTTTGTTTAAGCTACAACTTGGAGGTGGAGGTCAAGGGGAGGTGGTTCAGAGGGCCAGGCAATACAAGACACGAATGCCCACCTCCTAACCCGTTACTATACCTTTACTCCTGTGAGCATGCCTGTGGTGGAAACACTAAAATCTAGATATGCCAACATTTCGGGTGTGGGTGGCTTATAGATCTGAGCCAGCCTCTTCCTGGGCAAGTCATCTGTGCAAGAGAGAAACAAAGGGGTTAATTTTGGTTACTTGACTGGTATTTGAAAGGAGAACTCAACTTTTGAAACACCAGAGATGGAAGATAAAAGCTTTGTATTAATTCTCTTTCCAGAAGAGACAGGTAGAGTATGGCAAAACTCTTGCCAAAGCTCCCACATAGAAAATTATTTATTTTCAGGAAAAGGGAGAAAAGACCAACTCTCTCTTGTCTTAAGCAATTAAGGTTGTCTCCAGCAATCACTGCAATCATTTCCCATGCATAGCTCAATACTGAAGACTTCTCAGTGAACAAGGGCACATCTTGGACAGCCTTTGTACATATTCAAACAAATGTTCAAGAGCCACACAATGAAATGGGGGCCAGTCCCTTTGGAAGTCACCAGCCACCCCTCCCCAGGACTTCAAGGAGCCTCTTGGCAGGGAACTCACCCGTGTCGATGATGGTTGGCCAGGTTTTCACATCTACAGCCCCAGCTGCCTCTCTGGACTTGAGCAGCCTCATCAAGGTCTGGGTTGTGAGGATGCAGGCGGCTTTGCTGACCTGCAAAGACGAAAACTCACTGAAACACAGAGGCAAGAGCATGTCCCAGCAGCACTGTCCCTGCAAGAGCTGATTGCAGAGACTATTTTATCATCTACAGACAGCTTCTTTCAGCAAACCTGAATTCCTTTCTCTGCCTTTGGCACACTCTGCTCTGCTGCCCCTTCACTAAACCCCCAGTGCAGCCCAGCCTGCACAGACCCTGTCAGAACCTCTAGAGCAGGTGAGAAGGTGTCACAGCAAGATCCAGCTTTCTTCCCCATGCTGTCTCCTGGCTACTGGGCTTGGGAAGTCACTTAACTGCAGGATTTGGACTTCCTCAGCATTAGGAAGTCTCAAGGTGAAATTCTGGCTGGCAACAGCACGTTGGTGCTCTCAGCAAGAACCTGCACTCCTCTGTGAGGAGGGGGTTCTCTCTGGCATTTGATGAAGGACAACACTGTCCCTCAGCTCCAAGGTGTGCCTCCATCCCTCTCACACAGGCACCATGAGCTTGGTCAACCGTACCACCCCTGGAGCACGAGGCTGGAGCGGTCAGTGTGACTCCAGCACAGTCCCTGTGCCACATGTGCCACCCCTGGAGCGGTCAGTGTGACTCCAGCACAGTCCCTGTGCCACACATGCCACCCCTGGAGCGGTCAGTGTGACTCCAGCACAGTCCCTGTGCCACATGTGCCACCCCTGGAGCGGTCAGTGTGACTCCAGCACAGTCCCTGTGCCACATGTGCCACCCCTGCAGCGGTCAGTGTCACTCCAGCACAGTCTCTGTGCCACACGTGCCACCCCTGCAGCGGTCAGTGTCACTCCAGCACAGTCCCTGTGCCACATGTGCCACCCCTGGAGCGGTCAGTGTGGCTCCTGTGTCACCTCTGGGGCCTGTGATCACTGCAGCCACAGTCCCTGTGCCACACGTGCCACCCCTGGAGCGGTCAGTGTCACTCCAGCACAGTCCCTGTGCCACACATGTCACCCCTGGAGTGGTCAGTGTGACTCCAGCACAGTCCCTGTGCCACATGTGCCACCCCTGGAGCAGTCAGTGTGACTCCAGCACAGTCCCTGTGCCACACGTGCCACCCCTGGGCCCACCCGTCACTCACCTCCACGATCATCCTCACTGTGGGCAGTGTTGCCACCAGGCTCTGGGCGTGGGGCGGGCGCACGGTGACAGGGACACAGCCCGAGTACAGGCAGCCGTAGAAGGCTGTGATGAGCTCAATGCCTGCAAGGACACCACAGCTGCACTGGGGACACTGGGGGACACTGGGGAGCGTCCCCCAGGGCACGGCAGGGCAGTGCTGCTCCTCCCCTGGGTTTCCACAGCACAGGTGAGCAACAGCAGCAGCCCAGCAGCACGGGCAGCACGAGGATGAGGATGCTGGGACAGCTTGGGATAGGGCAGAGGAACCACAGAGCAAAGCATCTCCATCATAGAGGAAAGGAACATCAAACACCTCAAAAGTCAGCCAGGACACACCAGTGAACACCTTTCACTAGCACTGAGATCCCAGGGAGATTCCAAAGCAAGGCCAGGCTGTGTTTCCCCAGGGGGACTCACTCACCAGGAGGATAAAGAAGCACCACGTTGTCTCCTGCATTGAGATGGCCTTTGTCACACAGCACTGATGCGATTCTCTCAGCCTTTTTGTGCAGCTGAAGGCAGGTGGCCGTGCACACAGTGGTTCCCTTAAAAGGAGACAAAAATGCTCTAAACAGGGGCTGGCACGACACAAACTGGCTGCTCTGAGGTAAACCCAAGCTTGCTGGCTAGCAGGAGGCTACAGCTATGAGTTATCTCTACCTAAAGGCTGCTGGCGCCCAGTGAGCCACTCATCCACTACAGTATCAAAGGACAGAGATGGAGTTAGGTCTGCTCTAGAAAATTCTACCTTCCAGGGAGTCAGTTCAGGTCTTCTTGCACCAGAACCTTGCCAGAATATACTCAACACCATTGATAGGGATGGTGGCACCAAGGGATACACCATTAACTGATACAGGAACCAGTGGGACCTACAAACACGCTCAGTTTTAAAATGAAGTGTCAAACCATGAGAGTCATTTGCTGAAGGGACCTAGAGGGTCAAAGGGTCAAGTTTTAAGTCACAAATCTATGGGCAAAATTTGATACAGAGGTTAAACAGAGGCACTGCAGAGGGCAAAAGATTTTAAAGACTCTCCAACTGGCATTGGATAACATGTGGACCCTAAAACCCAACAACTCAGCACTGACTGTACCTTGGCATTCAGTAAAAGGAAGAGTGGGTGGTCAGGAGTCGCTTGAGCTCTCCACTGCAACACTTCTGTCAGGAACTGGTGCTGGAAGAGACAGGCAGGAACTCAACACCAGCTTCTCCTTCAGTGCTCCCCACTGCTGCTCTGCAGTGGGAAAGGAAAATTCCTTTCCCACTCTCAGTCACAAACTCTGCTTTACCTTTTTAACTAAATCATTGTCTTCTATTTGACCCAGATCTCTCCCAGAGGCCTGAGCGATTCTCTTCCCAGCAACCAGGTTCCCCACCATCACAGAGGCAGGGCCCACACCTGTGGAGAGACAGGAGCACTTTGGGAAGGAGCAGAGCACAGGGAGTCCCTGCAGATCCCACCGCTCCTGGGAATGAGCCTCACTGATGGAGTTCAGCAGGCATTGCTGGTTTCTGCTCATCAGGAGGGAGAATTCAGTGAGTTCAAAGGTGGGAATTAAAATTCCTGGCTAACACATGCGAAGAGAGGCCTGGAACACGCCCCAGCCACGGGGCACAAGCCAGGCCCTGGTCCCCAGCAGGACAGGGAGTGGGACATCACCCGGGTTCCTGGGGCTGAGCACTGAGCCCCACTTCAACACCACCACACAAAAGGGCTTCAGCTCACCTGGCTGTTTCTGCCTGGGCTTTGGCAAGTTGGTCACACAAGTGTGTGGGCACATGAGGATGTTGCAGGGGTGCAGAGAGCCCTCCAGAAAGTGCTGTTTGGTTTGGGAGATGTGGATCCCTCCCAGCGGAGTTTTTGGCAATGTGTTGGCTGGCACGAGAGCAAGGCAGTAAACACCCACTTGGTGAATGCTGTCAATTGCCTAGAGAAAGGAGAGATGGTCACTGGCATTCCTGGCACTGCTGGACACAGGCTGCTGATGCACTCACACACTGCAAGACAAATCCCTGGGCTTGTGAGTCCATCACTGGCATCCCATTTGACCTGCGTGCCACCAGCGAGTCCTGCAGTGAGCCTGAAGTGCTGGGTACATCCCTGCCTTTACAGCCCGTTTCATAGACACCAAATCCATTTTTAAATCTTTCGTGACCAAAATCCCAAAATACCCACGGCTGCCTGATGAATCACACGATTCTGATCTCGGGATTGTATCCATCTGTCTCCTCTCACCCATCACACTCTGTTCCCTCCTGCCCGCCTCAGCATTCAGGCATCCGATCCATTATTCAGAGCACCAGGTACTTCCCTGATTTTCCACCCCAGCTTGCACACTTCACTCCCTGAATGCCATTCCTGGAACAACACAAACGCCGTGCAGGCAGCTCTCAAAGGAAGGACTTGCTACTCATTTTTCTAGGACCACACTCATTCAGCTGTTCTGGCCTTTCCCTGCTGAAAATGCACCTCCAAGGAAAAGGGTGGCTTTAAAGCCAAACTCTGAGCTCCACATGATCCTGAATAAAAGCAGAACTCCAACGCTTGAGCACGGATCTGCTTTGCAGCTCTGAGAGGCAAGAGCCCGTCTATTCTCTGGGATTCATGGAATCCCAGACTGGTTGAGGAATTTCTTCCCAAAATTTAACTTCAATTCCCCCTCTTTCACTCTGAAGCCATTCCCCTTGTCCTGTCACTCCAGTTCCCTCAGGACACAACAGAACAGCTTGGACACAGCTTGTGACCCTGCACCAACACTTTGTGCCAAGAGGGATGCAAAGCTTGTGGCACCTCCATCCCTGGGGCCATCAGGGGCCTCTGCTCTGCCCACTCCCCAAAAGCAGCAGGATTTCCCCTGGCTGTACCTGCAGCACCCGACTCATCCACTGGAAACTGTCCTCCTCAGACGCGTCTGGCCTCTGCTCTGCCACCACCACGATCCTCTCGTCGTAGAACACCGACACGGAGAACACGGCAATCCTAAGGAAAAGGGCAGAGCCACACTCCAGCTCCACTCCTCAGCAACAGCAAGCCAAGGAGAGATGAAAGACAGAGTTTGTTCACAGAATTCACACTTGTTAAAATAACCATGGGGCAAAGAAGAGAAAAAGCATCAGACAATTAACGTTGACTCAAAAGGAAAGACTGGAGAGTGTTTAAGGAGTTAATTCCACTTTCTGATGGAATTTCCATATGGCACAGTCCCCCGTTCTCCCAACCTGCTGTCACATTCTTGTTCCAACTTCTGGCAAAGCCCAAATGAAAGGAGATTTAAAGGCACCTACAGGATGGTTTAAAATCTCTCACTAAATCTCAGAGACAGAAGCTCCAGCCTTGCCTGAAGATCTAGAAAATTATATCCACAACTGATAAATAAAAATCAAATATCTTTGGACATTAATGAAACTCTTCCTTGCTGCACCAGACAGCAGCTAACGACTGCAACTCTGCAGAGACAGAGAATTAATTTCTCCATGTGACTTATCTTGTTACTTGACTGCTCTCCCTAAAGCACAGACTTGATGAAAAACCAGGCTGGGCACTGGGAAAAACATCTGTGTTGGGCAGGATCAAGGCAATTACTACCTAAATCAAAAATATGTTCATTTGAACTGAGCTACCACAGAGAAATCCAAGGAAACACTAAAGCTTGTGCTTTGCTTTATTACATGCAGCAGGTGATGGGGTTTCTTGTGCTGACCTGCCTCTGTAAACTGTTTTTATTGACTCCACGGCCAGCCCGGTGGCCACGATGTCATCGGCGTTGTGCCTTCTCCCGCTCACCGTCAGCAACCCGTCCATTTTCCCAACCACAAACACCAAACTGCCCTGCAAGACAAGAAGGCAACTGTGAGGAATTCCCAGCGAGCTCTCCTCACACATCCTCCCTCCCCAGCAGCTTTTCCCTGGCCAGAGCAGTGCAGGCTCTGAGCGCCTCACGTACAGGTCCAACAAAGCCTAGCAAGCCGGAGCGCACGAAGGGCACTTCCCCCACTGGAGAGCCAGAGGAGTTCACAGGGATCACCTGCAACACAAGGGAGGACATTGGAGAGAAAAACCTTCCCAAACCACCCCAAAATCGTGGAGAAAAACCACCCCAATAACTGCACATAAAGTGAGTGAAGGGAAGAGGAGAAGGGCAGGGAAGCCTTGGTACAGCCAGGGTTTTTGGAGGGGATTCTGAGTGTCTCTAACTGCAAGGAGTTTTCCAGCACATGTTTATAAAAACCATCATTAACACTTCAGTTACAACACCACCAGTTTTACACAGAAAATGGGGCAGGAAAGATGCATTCTGCTAGACATACCTCGAAAGTGTTCTTTGTCACCCCTGCCAGCCCATAGTACATCATTCCTCCTGCTCTGGAGCTCACACAGATTTCACCAATCTCATCGGTTTTACAGAGCTGGGGTGGCCCATCTGGTTTCACTATACACATCATGCCTAGGACAAATCAGGCTTTGTTAGAAACAGCTCCCAGATTTTGCCCTGTGTGAGAACTGACACGTTTAATCGTGACAGAAATGACCGAGCCTGGCACTGCCCCACCTATCCCACACCGAGGCTGATATGGGAGAGAATATTGACCCATTCTGCTCTGAAACATCCCCAAAACCATCTCACATCAGCCTCCTGCCTGTTTTTACCTCCTGGCATCACGTGCCCAACGTCCTGGACAGTGAGAGCAGAGTTTTTATCTTCAGTGTTGACCCGAATCACACCGAAACTCAGCCCGTTCATGGACAGGATGGCTCTGCCTGGCAAAGGGGCCCCGGGGACTCCAGGCCTGGAGAGGACATAAAATGAATAAATACATTCAATTGGGCACCCAGGCTTGATGTTAGACTCAGATGGAGACGGCCCAGCAACAGAAAGAGTCTCAGTGTCTCTGCTTTGCATAATCATTTCAAACTGTGATGGCACTAAGGATCCCCACCCAAATTTTCAAGCCCTAAGGAATTGTGTTCCTGGGCACTGCCAGCTCATTATCTCACCCCATGGCAAACCCCAGCTCCCAGGCCACGACTGCAGGGCTGCTTCTTACAGAAGGCAGCAAGGTCAGAAAGAGAGTACGAGAATGTCCAAATGATCTCAAATAGACTCAGAACACCTCCCAGGCTGTGGCAATCAGGAGGAGGAAAAGCAGAGCCCAGGCACTGCTGAGCTGTCACACACCTCAGAAATCACTTGGGTCTCAGGAGGGAGGTATAAAGCTCAGTAGCTTGAGTACCTGAGCACACAGAGTAAATGTCAGAGGAGTTTATTACAGGCTTAACTCAACTCTGACCAACCCAAGTGTGAAGAAAGCCCAGGCTGGATGAGTCAATCTGTTACCTCCGGATCGCGACGGTCATCGCTTCGGGGGAGGTGGCACAGGGACAAATCGCCTCTGGTTTGAGCCCATGGCTCTGGAACAAGCTCAGGAAGGCATCACAGGAGGAAACAGACCCTAGAAAGAAAGAAAAGATGCCACTAGGACCTCACAGATATTAATTTCATGCCCATCTACAGGAAGGCTCAGGAGGAAGATTTGGGAAACTCCAGGAGGAAGCAGCCTCAGGTTGTGCTGGGGAGGTTTAGGCTGGACATTAGGGAAAATCTCCTCACTCAAAGCATGGTCAGGCACTGGAACAAGCCCAGACTGGATGTTCAGACATTGGATTCTGCCCAGAGCAGTGGTGGAATCACAGTCCCTGGAGGGATTTAAAGGACATGTGGACATTACATTTGAGGACAGGGTTTAGTGGTGAACATGGTGCTAGGTTAAGGGCTGGATTCAATGATCTTAAAGGTCTTTTCCAGCCTGAACAATTCTCTGATTTTATAAACACTGCCCTGCACCTAACTCTCCCTTTCCCTGCTTTGCAGGATCTCTCACAGCCCAAAGGATGGCAAGACAAAAGCCTTGAAACACCCTTGTGCTGTGCCAAGCACCAGGAGCCAGAGCTCTGGCCCAGGGGAGAGCTCAGTGGGAGCTGATGCCGATGCCAGGGGCTGCAGGGAGGGCTGGGGCAGGGCTGGGGCACTCACAGGGGTTGGCGCCGTCGGTGACGATCAGCATCCGCAGGGAGCTCAGGCTCACGTCTCTTTGGTCCCGATGGGCCATCATGGCCCAGTGCAAGTCTCGACACTTCACCAGAGCAACTTTTGCTGCAGCCAACACAAAAACACCACCTCAGGACAAATCAAAGCTTTCCAAGAGCTGTTTTTTGTGGAACTCGCATGGTCTGAGATCCCCAAATGAGGGAATTCTCACCTAAGCAAGGAAGCCTGAAATAACTGACAAAGCCAACGCACAATGGCATCTGCTGTGGCACTGCCACCACCTGAGCCAGGGTCTGTCATCATCACAGCTCCTCCTCCAAAGGCCATACATCATTAGCACCCTCTGAAAGCCCTTGGGGGGCAGGCACCAAGGGCTCCTGCTGCACTCTACCCTTTTCTTGGTTTCGTAAAAGAAACTGGCTCCAAGTCACAAGATCCCCACCACTGACGTGGCATTAGGACTTTGTGCACAGAAATAAATGGCCAAGTCCCCTGTCCTCCCAAGCTGTCACATTCCTGTTCCAACCTCTGGCAGGTTACCAATGCAAGGAGTTTTACAAGTCTCCACATGACTGGGGGCTTAAAATCTCCCACTGAGTCTTACAGACACGAGCTCCAGCCCCGCCTGAGGATCTAGAAAATCATATCAACATTGCAAAATAAAAATAACTACCTTTGTACATTAGTGAAACTCCTGCCCCTTGAGATTTGGCATGGAAGAGCAAGAAGGGTTTAAGGGATTTGAGATTTTAATGCCCCTCACTCTTGGACCCTGAGAACTCCCAGCTGAAGCTGTGGATCACCCCGAGTTACCTTTGTGGGCGTGAACCCTCTGCACCCACGAGAGAGGACAGGTTTTCATCACAGAATAGGGCACGCTGATGGTGTGCAGCTTGTTCATTACATTCTGAAAAACAGGAAAGAGATTGTTAGAAAAGGATCACAAACCTTTCACTGAGTTATTAGAAATAAGGACCACCCTCAGTGCCCATCAACTTCCACATAATCAAGAGTTCACGGAGGTTTAGTCAGGATGATTCTGCTGCTCCCCCAGAGAACTGCAGCTCTGGCAGGGAGATAAATGCTTGTTTTAACAGGTAATGCTCCCAGCCATGGACTCCAGTGCTACTGTTATCACAGAATCACAGAATTCTGGAATGGGATGGGTTGGGAGGGACCTTAAAACTCATCCAGTCCCACCCCTGCTATAGCAGGGACACTATCCCAGGTTGTTCCAAGCCCCATCCAACCTGGCCTTGGACACTTCCAGGGATTCAAAGGCACCCACAGCTTCTCTGGGCACCCTCTGCCAGGCTCTCTCCACCCTCACAGGGAAGAAATTTTTCCTAATATCCCACCTAATCATTGATCTGTCATTGCAGAGAGCTCTGGAACCAACTCACCGTTAGAATGCCATGCCACAGCCCTGCATCCTTCTTAAAATCCAGCACATTCACTATGGTTTCACCTGGGGAAAGAAGGGGAAGCTGTCAAGTGCCAGCAGAGCTGTGCCCATCACTGATGCTGGAATGTGCACATGGATGAAGATCCCTGATCTGCAGCCAGGGCCCTGTTTGATTACAGGTGCTACTGATCACAGCTCCCTGTCATGCAAAATAACAACTGCACGTCCATTCCTCAGCAGCAACACGTCCAGAATGCTGCAAGGAAATGATATTTGGAAATCCAGCCGCCAGCTGGAAATCCCATTCCAGCCTGAGATGTCCATCAGTAGGACAGGGAGGGTCTGAAGCTCGTTATGCACGAGCAGGGGAGGGACGGGGAGCCAGAGATCATCCCAGCCCTGACTCTCAGCACTGATGGGAGCTCCAGTGATGGATTCTGAAAGGCAAACTTTGCATTTTAAAGCTCTATGGCCTACAGCACTAGAAATGGTTTCACTCATGGATGTAGGAATTAGCTTGATTTACAAGGCAGACCAGAATAAACCATAACCTACAGCAAAACCTTCTGGAAAATCACCAATCTCCATTTCTGGGTTACCCAAAAAACCTCACAGGACCAGAACAGCCCCAGCCCCAGAAATTTTGGGATTTACACACTATCAGCAATGAAAGACATTTCTATGGGCCATCAGTGCAGTGAGAGGGGATTCAAGCTTGTTGGAAAATGTTCAATTTTTCATTCATTGGCTCCCCATTTGGTTCATCAGAACAGACTCAGTAACTTCATATAAATTATATAAATCTCCCTTTTTATTCCTCTTCATCATGGCAGTGAAAATGATGCAGTTTGGATAAAAAAATCACAGCTAATTTTCACTTCTGGGTGGGGGGAGAATTAATCTGCACTTTCAAATTTTACTTATTTTTGGATGTAAATATTGGTTACTCAGAGAGAGCTGTTGAAGATATGAGAGGAAACCACTGGATTTGATGTTCTGTGCCCTCACCCACCTTCAGAGTAGTTGCAGGCCTGAGACAAGGCTTGGCAGTGAGCCAGCATGGCCACACGGGACACGGTGACACCCATGACACTGCCCTCCTTGCTGGTCTTGTACTGCACAGGAGAGAAGTGAAAGGAACTTAAGGAAGAGAGAAATTAAGGAAGTTCAATCACAGAATCCACGTGAAAATTAAGTTTTCTCTCTGTGTGAAAGCTTAGACCCGAGGAGATGGTTATTGTGGTGGCACACATGGAAAATCTCCATGGAGACGGGAGAAAAAAATGAAGGTGTTTGTGTTTATTTCACTGTCACTGCTGCTCACCACATCTCCTCCTGCTCCTGTAACACACTGAAAAGCCAATCTGTGATTTCAGGATGGCTGAACCACCACTGAAACCGCTGCAATCCTCTGGGAAATGGATTTGTAAAGAATTTTTAAATTTGATAGAAAGCTTACATAATTTTAGAGAATTAGAACTGTGAAAGATGCATTGTAGCAGGACCACGTAGGAAAAACCAGAGGTGATTGGTGTTAAAAGTAATTGCAGCATTGTGTAGCTAAAAAGCTGAAAAAGGTATTGTAATTTATAAGGTATTGTAACCAGAAAATAAGTTAGCTTCTGATAGAATAGCATTGAGTTTTACATCTCTTGTGTCTCACTTTTCATCAAGACTGATAATAGAATAAAATATTTTAAAACACCCCTCAATAAAAGCTGAGAAAACCAACACAATCTCTACAAGTCACCTCCTGGCAGAGAACAAAAATCAGCATTGCTGCAGGAACAGAGAATTCCACCTGCTGCTGGCTCAGGCACTGGCAGAATTGGGTGTTACCAAGCACCACCTCAGAGCTCAGAGCTCCATCCCTCATTTTTTTGGAACAAAAACAATTCTCCAGCTTATTCCAAGCAGTGCTCAAGGCCACGAAGGGATTCAAACCTGAACTGAGCTTCACAGCAGGATGTCCACAGTGCAAGGCTTGTTTCAGTGGCAGGAAAGTGGGAAGTTTAAGGGACTGAGGTGAAACCATTCTCTCTCTGGTGGTTAGAACATTAAATTCAGCTCACGGAAGGTATTTTCCATTCCTCATTCACCACTTACCTCAATATATGCTGGCTCAGTTCCTGCAGCTGAGATGTTGGGCTGCCAGTCCTTGGGAGATTTGGAGAGATATTTTGAATCTGTCACAACCCATTTGAGTCTGGGCCAACCTGGAGCCAAAATTAAACAGTACATTAATATCAGTTTATTTATTGAGGGATTTATATTCTGCAAGAATACACTAAACCCCATCATTTGTCCAAGTTCAGTTACACAAGCAAAATTCCAAGCCAAGCCCAGCTACCAGCCAGAAGGTTCATCTCATTTCTCATCAGGGAGTTCAGTGGGCAACAAGGTACTTCCTCTCCTCAGGGAAGATCCCTGCAGCACTCCTAAATAAAGCTTGTGAATAAAACTGCCTTGGAACCTGCCAAAGTGTCACTGAAGGGACCTGAGCACCACCCTGGCTTGGGAGGTGGTTCCTTGTGACCCCCAGAACACCAGAGCAGCTGTGTCAGACACCACAAACACAAATCCTACAACATTTTGCTGATGGGATCAGGAGTTTGCCCCTTTACTCCCCAAGTGCCTTCAGAGTCCTGACAGCTCCTTTCAGATGGTTCAGCTGCAGCAAAAGTACAATCAAAAGCCAGTCTGTAACCAGCTCACCTTTAAACTGCACGATTTCTCCATTCTGGGTTTTTGGGAGCCCTTTCAGACACACTTCAGTGGTGAGGGCCAGAGCAATCCCACAGCTCCCCAGCAGGAAACCAATCTGCTGCCCACCAGCATCCTGAGGGAAGAGGGGAAAAGTCACTCCTGCTCAAAGATGACAAAAGTCAGCTTTCCCTTAATCAAAATCCAAGGTTTGATCCTGCTTTGGGGACTGGGGGAAGGGATGGCAAGGAAAAGAAGAAAACAGCTCATTCCCACACAGGATCACAGAATCACAACCAGAGGGACTCGGGCTGCTGGAAGGTGTCCCTGGCCATGGCAAAGGATGGAACTGGATCATCCCTAAGGTCCCTTCCAACTCAAAGCATGCTGTGACCCCATGAAATACAGCACTGGCAAGATTAAAATGCACTGGATGTGAAATCCAGGGGAAACAAGAGCTCCTGCCCAGCACCCAGGCATGGAGCTCACCCCATCTCCTGGCATTATGGAAACCCAGATGCTGCAAGGAGGAATTGAGAGGCAAAAAAAAAAAAAGCAAAACATGTAATTACACTGGTATAACGAGACCTCTCCATCCCCTGGAGCCAATTTCTGTTGCACAATGATAAAATGAGGAGGCTCACTCAGAAACTGATTGGGCAAATACCGGAGAAGTTTTAATTTTGCATTTGGTTGCTATAGCAGTCTGTCACAGTGCGGAGAATGAAATCAAAGCTCTGTGAGTCCCTGAGTGCCCCCTGAGCTCGCTGCCACCTCCCAGACCAGCTCCCAGCTCGTTCCCACCTCTCCTGCCAGAATGTTTGCCATGATCCCATTGTTTTTGTTTCCTCTTATGAAATCTTAGTTTCACACAGCTCTTGACACAGCAATATCATGGCAACAGTGCAAAAATTCTTATAAGGGTAAATGAAACACTTTGCTGAGCAAATAATTTACAAGAAGTGTCTCAATGTCCTCAGGAACACTGAGCACCTCCATGGCCAGCAAAATCAGAGCTCAGCAAGGCTGGACTGAGCCCCCTCCCATCAGCCAGGGGGCAGATCCACACTCTAATCTGTTCTGTATAAATTATTTGTGATAAGGAAGCGAAGACTGCATCATTTAGGAGAATTGACCATCTCCAGCTGCTCAGCACAGCTCTGATCAATATGTTTTTCCATTTTTAAATGCCAGTCCAAGCTCCCAAAAGTCCTTGCTGTTCCAGAGCTGCTCAGGCAGCAGCTGGAGGCTGTGAAATGCTGTCAGAGGCTGATAGCCTGACTTGGTTTCCATCCCACATCACTGCTCCAAGTTCCATCAACGTTACCTTTCTGGTAAGAGGTACCTCTATAGGCACTGGGATCACTTCAGCCAGGAGACAGCCATAAAATGCCACCATGAACATCACGGGGTCGTTGTTGGGATACACAAGGGCTACCTGCAACCCACAAAATTTCAAATTTCAAAATGCACATCTAAGGTGACCGGAACTCAGAAAACTTGGGGTTATTTCACACTCTTCCTCACACAGAATGTATGCAATGTGCCTGAGCTCCTCACACAGTGCCCAGGCACGTGAAGGTTCACACACAGCCAAGACACAGAGATAAACCCTGCACTTCTCTCAGAGGTGTGTGCTCTTCTCCTCAGATGTTTTCAAAACCCAGAGCCAAAGAATTGCTCACAGAGAACCCTGAAGAATCACACCACTGTCCCAGGCAGGCTTGTCCCTGGGGTTAGAGTCTCACTGCGGTGTCTGTGGAAAGTTCCAGCCTCCAAACCCCCAGTTTCACCCTGCAGAGCCCCAGGGTCCTTACCCTGTCTCCAGGCTTTAACACAGGCTCGTTTTTGGTCCCCAGTTTATTCAGCAGGGTGTAGGCCAGCTTGAGACTTCTGCTCCACAGTTTGCCTGGAACACAGGGAACAGAGACTTGCAGAGCTCTGGATCAAGCAGACAGGAGAACAGCTCACACCTTGGCCTTTTCACACTTCCCTGCTCTGCCCACCACCTGCCAAAGACCAAGAGGGTTTTACAACCCCTCCAAACCCTGTGCTGCCTCCCCTGCTGCTCTGTGGCGGCAGCTGAGCAGGGGAGGCTGAACTCACCGTACGTGAGGGTATAAACCGGCTTTCCTGTCACGTCCAGCGCCGTCAGACAGGGACACTTGGCCTGAGTGGTGCCCCAGCGCTGCAGGGCTGCCTCCAGGGCAGGAGGCCAGTTACAGACCACCCCCAGGGGCTCCCCCTTCACCGGCGTCATCTGCCGGCCCTCGGGCTTGGGCTGGTTGGGGTCGGGCTGGGGAACTGAGAAAAGACAGAATTATTTCCAGTGCGTCTTGGTATTTCTAATAGAGTCCATTATATATATATTTTATATATATATATTTATGTGTCTCTGTGTGTGTGTGTGTATATTAAAAAATAATTATATATCTGAAATTCAATATTATTTCCAGTATCTATTGCTTCTTCTAATATAATCTATTTTATATATTTGTTTATATATGTGAAATAATTACATATCTATAATAACTAAATATAATTTAAAATACTTTTTATATTTTAATATATAGAAAATAAATAAAAATATAACAAATATATTATTTCTAATATAATCTAATATATATTCCCCATCTTTGCCCATTTGTCACCTGACAGTTCAGCTTGAAATTAACTGAAAATAAAGCTAAAGGAAACGAGGAAAAGCATTCAACAGCCCATTCCATCCCATTTCCTGGGAAGTCACACAGAACAAGACATCACTGAGGCTTCTCACAGGAGGTGTTCAACACATCAGTAGGGAAAGGAACCCAGAATGCAGAAAAGAAAACAAAATAATTCTGGAATGGAATTACCAGCGACAACAATCCCCTTTGGAAAATTAATTAAAGAAGCCTAAGCAAACAAAGAGCGGGATTAAAAATCTATTTAAATACTTTAAATATTCTTCTTTTATATATTTTTAAAAGAAGTTTAGTGTTGAGGAGGTCCCCCAAAGCTCAGCAGAACAGTGAATTTCTTCCAACACTGGTTTTGTGTCAGACTGCTCATGGAAGTGAATCTGAGCCAGCCTTGAGAACAGCAGCACAGAGAACTCAGCTCCCAATTTTAACATCAGTTTTAACAAATGCACACCAAACCACTATTTGTGCTATTACCTTCCACAATTTCTTCAAAATCATCCACAAAGAATTCTTTCAGGGGTGGTCTTTTAGGTCTTTTCAGGGTGTTCAGCAACTGCTGAATTTTTGTGGAGACTCTGCTGCTCACAGGAACACCTGGAGGGAAAGACCAGAGCAGTGAGAGCCACCTCCAGCCCTTCCCCAGCCACCTCCAGAGATTTGGGGCTCCTCCACCCACCTCCCTGGGCACTTCAGAGCCTGACCACCCCACCCACGAAGGAATTCCCCGGAATTCCAACGCCACAACTGAATATCTTAATGCCAACACCGAAACCATCCAGAGTTTGTGAAGAGCTTAAATGAGATGATGGCTCAGGAATGACTGAGGGAGCTGGGGTTGTTCAGCCTGGAGAAAAGGAGACTCAGAGGTGACTTTATCACTCTGCAACAAATATCAACAATTTGCACCAAGGGAAATATATGTGGCACTGGGTGCCAGGGTTGAGTTGAGGTGTTGGACTCGATGGTTTGAAGCTCTCTTCCAACCCAGACATTCTGTGAATTCTGAGCTCAGCCAGGCTTGGGAGAACAAAAGGTGGGATTTAAGGCCTCTCTGGAGCCTGCTGAGGCTCCGGGTGCCCCGAGGGCTCCGTACCATCTGCAGTGTCCATCAGACTGGAGCGGTTGGATCCCTTGTGCATCCCCTTCACAATCCCAGAGGGAGGGAGGTCGACGGCTGCCGGCCGCGCTGAGGGGGTGGAGGTAGTTGCTGTGACATCTGGAGGGACTGAGAAACTTTCTAGAAAAAGAAGAAAGCTGCTAAATACACCTTTTATTATCCCCTCAAAGAGCAAAGTGTCAGTCAGCCGTTCCCAATAATCCTAAGGATTGAATGGGTTGGATGTACGGGAACCCTCATTAATGCTAAACTGATTCCTAAAGGTTCAGCAGCTCTGGGAGAGGAACAGCATCTGCTCTGGAAACCAAAAACCAAAGGCACAAGGTTTTGTCCATGTCAGGAAAGTGCTTCAGCAAAACAGAATTCCTGTTCTTGGTTTCTAACCTTGAATCTCTTGACATTCAGTACTGTAAAAAAAAAAATAATAATTTTTTAAAAGTTTGAGATTCACGTGAGCTCTGAAACATCCAAAGTCCAGAACAAATCCCTCTCTCACCTATGCACTTATCTCTCTTGCTAGAATTCTACTATTTAGCTTTTTTGTGAGTGAGGGCTTTTGAAAACAAAACACGCGGGAATTTGATCAGCAAAAATTGTGTTGGGTTTCAATCCCTTCCAGCTGGGTGGTTACAGAGCTCGTCCAGCAGCTACAGAATGAATCCAATAAACAGTGGGAGCTGGCTCTTACTTCTGCTTCAAGTTGCAAGACACTGTCTTGCCTTTCAGCTGAGGCTGCAACTGCATCCTGCAGGAATTCTCCAGTCAACTGTCTCAAAAAAGGGATTTTTGCTCATGTGGGGTTTCTTTACACAACCCAGCAGGTTCAGTCATCTGATAGGGCAAGAATATTCTATTCTGGCTTAACAGCACCAGCAACTGTTGCTTACAAAGGAAAAACCCAACAATCTGAAACTATGGGTTGGGTTTTACAGATGGTCTGAGTCAAATCCCAAATAATTCCCACTGAGAGGGTTTTGTGATTGATTCTGTGTTCATTTCCCCTTTTCTAAGGAGAAAAAAGAACTCATTTCTGCATCCCTTCGGAGACACAGTGGCAAGGAATATTTCACATGCACTGAACTTCTAAAATCACTGGGAAGGATGTGGATTTGTACAATCCAAACCTCTGCAGGACTTTTTATTGCTCGAGAGAAAGAGATGTACAGAATTGTGTATGTGAGAGTTCTATTCATTTAAACCAGGTGTTAACACGGGATGAATGTGGCAAATAAAATTCTGACAAATATTCAAAGCTTCTATTTTGCATAAGACACTAATTAGATTAGACAGTAGACATTCTGGAAGTAAAAAGCTGTGTTACCTTAATTCATTGCAAAAGGTAATGTGGCCTTCTGCATGCTCCAATTAAAAACAGCCTCTCTGCTTCAAAGACATTAATTATATTGACTACATTTTATGGGCAATCTCCTCAGTTTTCCATTTCAGGAAACAATTTGCATCCCAGCCAATAAACAAACAAAAATAACAGCAATAAAAAGACAAATAAGTGAAAGATAAAATCACCAGCACTTCTATGCACTGCTTGCCCCAACCCAGTTAAGCAGAAGCAGAGAGCACATGAAATACAGACAATGTCCTAGGGTGCAGGAATTTCCTCACCAGCAGCTAAAAAGGACAAACATACACAGAGCAAAAACAAACTTGGCCATTTCATACAGAAGCATCAGCAGCAAGGAGCACCTCAGAGCCTCAGAAAACTGAGCCTGGGGTATCCAGATCTGTAGATTTTGCTCCGTCTCCTCAGTACCTGGATGCTCTGGTTGCTCCTCAGACAGCCACGGAAGGGCTGGACTAAAGTTTACTCCTCTAACCCTGGTTTTTAATGACAGTTTTTAATGATTTGTTCACACACACGGCTGGATTTGGTTCTTTTTCTTTCCTGATCTAACTCAAACAATAAACCCCGGGGGCTCAGAGCAAAATGAGGATGTTAAACACAGCATTTCCCCACTCCACAGGCACAGACACCCCTACGGGATTCCTCAGGACACAGATGAAAATGCCACTTGCACCGGGCAGCTTTGTGCCCACGGGAGCTCCCAAGAGCTGGAGACAAAAAGCAACACAGGACACAGAGAGTTGTGCCTCCTGCTCTGTCCACACTGTCCCTGGATTCTTCCCTGCTTCCAGAAGCTCCTGCTCCCCACTCTCCCTTTTACAACCACCTCAATCTTCTGAAATTCTTCAGGAAAACAACAACGTGACGGTGCAGCTCCAACCAATCCTAGCAAGTTCCATCAACACCAGCTAAACTCTGGCTCTGAGTTTCCCTTCTGCAAGGGACAGCTCCAGCTTTACCAACACAGTCTGGACTCGAAGCGATCGTTCTGTTCGTACCCAGCTCCTACCTATTCGAGTATTGGCAAATACATCAGCTAGTGACCCACTGGTCCCTTTGCCTTCTCCATGGGAAAGTGTAGAGGATGCTGATGAGGATGTGGATGACCCCTGAACAGATCGGTTGATCCAAGACTCAGCATTCTGTAAGCTCTGGTGCAATGCAGCAGAGAGAGCAGCTTGGCGCCTGAGCGAGCCCTCGTCCTCGGAGGCGGAAGACGTGTCTGTGTGGAAGCAGAAAGAAAATCTAGCTGCTTAGGGAAAAGCACATGGCACTGAACATGCTCTTTCCAATCACATATCAACAGCACAGCCTTTCACAGGAAGATCTGTTTGCCACATCGGCCAAACCAGAGGTTAAAGCAGCAGAATTGTTGGTGGGAACACACTCACCCCTGTTTGATTCACCTCCTCAGACAACATCCTTCCCCTGGGGTCTCCAAGCCTAGAACTTAACTCTCATTACTTTTCTGTTCACATTCCATAATATCAGATGCTGTTTTGCCTAACTCTGGTTATTCTGAACTGGAAAGTGAGGGGTGAGGGTTGTTGTCAAACTGCAAAGTCCCAGGGAACAAAGAAAACGCAGGAAACAACTGTGCCAAGGCCACAGCAGAAAATGCTTTTGTCTGGGCTCTAAATGGGGCCCTTTCAATTGCAGAAAATAAACAAAAAGCCCAACCCCAAAACAAAACAGAATTCTACAGCAAGGAACCGCTTCCTGTGTGTCCCAGAGCACAGATACCTCAGCTGTCCCAAAACTGTGAACGAATTATTTAATTACCACGAAGCAAGCACTCAGTTCTTGAGATGCTGAGTTGTACAGTGCTAAATACAAACACACAGGTGGCTTTGGCCTAAAAATTTAGGTGTTCTTCAAAGTGATTTTCCGCCTACACTCGAGTGGTAAATCAAGGTACTAAATCATGTTCTGCCCGCTTGCCAGAGTGGGACAGAGCCAGGAGCTGAGGCAAAGCCCGGCTCCAGCCATGCTCGTGGTGTGACTCCCCCAGCACAGGGTGTGCTGCAGTCCTGGACAAGTGAGCACAGAGCTGAGACCCAAGCAGACACCAGGAACATGCATCAGCCCCCCGGAGAGAGGAAGGGAAAAGGGAAGTGTGATAAAACAGGAAACAGGGAGGAGGAGGAGGAGGAGGAGTGACGTGGCCTAGCAGAGCAGTTCCAGAGCTATGAATTCACCAGGAGATGTGGATTCATAACATTTCGGATGACTTTTGTCAATCCAAATGGCTGCGATGCTTCTGCACAATGAGACACAACACAGAAGTGACTGCCAAAAATCACACGGACTCGTTTGTCAGCAGTGCATCCAGCTGCTGGAAAACAGAGGGTTATTGATTCTGCTGCACATGCATGGTGACAGACACCGTGTCACCCAGGGGTTCTGCTGCAGCCAGCACGCGGCAGGGCTGAGAGAAGTCCTGCAAGTCCTGGAATCCCACCAGAACCCTCCGAGGTCCTTGCCCACAAACAAACATTGCTTGCAAACCTTCCTCTTGTGTGCTGAGCATTAAACATTAATGAAACCAAAATGTGAATTATCCATCAGAAACAGGTGTGAGGGAAGAAGTGGCCTCAGTCCAGACCTGCTCAGCTCTGGCCAGGTTGAACCACATGGAACATCCCGAGCTGGATTCACAAGGACCATCCAAGGTCCAAAGTTGGACTCACAAGGACTATCCGAGGTCCAAAGTTGGACCCAAAAGGACCATCCAAGGTCCAAAGTTGGACCCAAAAGGACCATCCAAGGTCCAAAGTTGGACCCAAAAGGACCATCCAAGATCCAAAGTTGGACTCACAAGGACCATCCAAGGACATCAAGGACATCCAAGGATCCCACCACGTGGTTCTTTAGGAACTCCTGGAACAGAGGTCACTTCCCAGCCCTGACAGACTCCCTGAAGAGCTGCAACACTGGGAGCCCTGCAGCCCCTTGGTTTGGAAGCCAGCACAGCTTTGGTGTAATAGAAACTGACAGGATTCTAGGGGTTTTTTAATGCAGAAAAGCTGATTTTTTAACGTTACAGTCTATTTTTATATCGTTTTTTAAGTTATTTGGTTTAATTGGCTAGTAACTCTTTTGCTACTCAGTTTATTGTTTAGAATGTGTTTGTGTGTGAATGTGTTAAGGCTTTTTCTTTCCACAGAGGTTTATATATTTTCTTTAAGGATTCTTACGGGTAAAATTTTCGTCTTCATAGGTGTAAACTGTTTTTTTACAAGAATAGATTATTACATAAATTGTTTTTTATAATTTCTTTACATGGGAACTTAAAAGCCTAGCTGTTAGTTTTACTTAGCTGAAGTGGTGGGCTTAAGTTACGATTTTATAAATATATTATAATTATATAGAAATGTAATTATAATTATTATAATTACTTAATAAATGTTTTATTTAGAATAAAATAAAAATAAACAATAAAATAAATAAAATCATTAATAACTATTTAAAAATAAAACTAGAAATATTTTTAAATGAATGAAAATTAATAAATAAATACTATAAATTTTAAATAAATAAATAAATTTTTAAAAATCAAAATTTTATTTTGAAGAAAATTTTATTTTAAGTAATATTTTTACCTCTATGCCACAGAGGCTCACCTGGGGGAGTGCAGGCATCTGCTGGGGACTGGACGAAGGTAGAGCGGCGCTTGGTGGGCATGGGCAGGGCCATCTTCTGCTCCTTGTGCTTGGCCAGCGCCGCCTGGACCGCCTCCGTGTGGATATCTGTGAGAGGGAAGTGCCTCAGCACCAGCACAGCACCAAGGCGATGCCTCCAGATTTTCATTTTTCTATTTTTCAAATCCTGTACTATGTTATTGCATAGCTCTGAACTGCATGTGAAGTGTCTTCACATTTTAGCTAGGCAAAACAATCCCTCTGGGCCTGTGATCCAAGGACACCTTCAGGCCCCAAAAAACATGAACAAAAGTGAAGTTCCACAGGGAGGAATCCAGGGGATTCTTGTCCCTGCCCTTACCAGATCGATAACGTTCATCCCTGGCTCCCCCTGAGCGAGCTCGGTGGAATTTGGATGAGGATGAGGAGGATGATGCTGCTGAGGCTGGAGCTGCAGATGGAACTGGCATCTGAGGTCTGGATTCCTTCTGTAGTGCTGGATCAACCCCTGGAAAACAGGGAGAGGGAAATAAAAGGAGCTTTTTTGGACCACATTCTTCCCTTCTCCCATGGCAGGGCTGTGCATGTCACTAAGCTGGTTTGTCACTCGTGTCCCAGTGACCAGCTTGTTATTGACTGCAAAACCAATAATAAACCAGCAGCAAGAGCCTTTGCTGTTCTCATTAATCACAAACTCAAGGAGACCTCCAGCTGTCTGGTTCTGGCTTTCAGCACGTCCAGTGTGTGGCTTTATATCCAGGAAAAGTTTGTTTTTCTCATTAAAACAGGAAGCAAAATAGATAATCTGATAAAGAGTATAATTTTACATAATTCAGCAAGAGTAACTTGGAATTGTTGCTACTGGAGGATGCTAAAATGAACCTGTGTGTCAGAGGGAAGTTTTGAAAACTAAAACCCAGAGGTCACCCAGCCGTAATTTCCTCCAGGCTGTCACCTGGAGTCAGGCAAAACCAAGAGAACCGTGTCATCTGTATGTGCTGCTTCAGAATTCTCACAAACTACCAAAGGATCAGAGAAATGGAGTGGAAACCACAAATTCTGAGCTTCCAATCCACTTACACCACTCTTGAGGTGTATGGTTTTAGGTAAACAACTTTGGGGGAGTGCCTTGAGCTCAGGGATTCAAAATAACAGCAAATCACGCTGAGCTAGCTGCAGGAATCTCCACAGATCACAGAATTCTTCAGGCTGGAAAAGCCTCAAAACCACTGAGTCCAAGCTGTGCTCCATCCCCACCTTGTCCCCAGCCGAGAGCACCAAGTGCCACCTCCAGCCCTTCCTTGGACACCTCCAGGATGGGGAATCCAAATCTCCCTGGGCAGCTCCAATTCCTGACCATCCTTTGCATGGAGAAATTACTCCTGATGTCCAACCCAATCCTCCCAGCTGGCTCCTCCACCCTCCTGTCAGGGAGTTGTGGAGTGAAAAGGTTCCCCCTGAGCCTCCTTTTCTCCAGGCTGAGCCCCCTCAGCTCCCTCAGGAGTTCCCCAGCCCCTTCCCCAGCTCTGTTCCCATCTCTGGACACACCCCAGCCCCTCAACATCTCTCCTGTAGAAAGGCATTTTTTAAATTCCTCATCTTCCTTCATCTCCTTTTAAAATCCCAAAGTGCAAAATATTAGTGGAATATTATTGAATGCTAGAGCAAACTAAGAACCCACTTAGCTGTGGATTGTTCATGATTCTTTAAACTACCATGCCAAAAACTGAGAACCTTTATTTCTAGTTAAAGAGGAGATCTGCTAGCCAGAAATCCTCAAACCACACTAGGGGGACAAACAATTATTCCCCCTTTCCACTGGTGTTTTTTGGATATAGTAACACATATCAGAGTCCTGTATTTGCTTATCAAAACACACTCATCCCCTGTGCAAATGTGCAGGTGGCAAAAAAGCTGAATGGAAAAGGAAAAGAGATCTCTGTGCAGGACCTGGGCTCCAGAGCAAGATCATGAATTCAAAATCTCAGCTCACCCACATCCAAGAGCATCAACTTGTGCCCTTCCTGTCACTCTGGAACACATTCCATTGATAACAGCTTAACATCTTTGCAGCATTTATTTGCCTTCACCAAACCCAGCCCGGTTTTATTTTGATCCAAAAACAACACGACTTCACAGACCAAACAGAAAAGCTTCATGTTTTCTGATCACTTGAGTATTTATGAATTCAGGCACCCACTAGATGTCAGCAGCAGATTTAACACTATTTTAAATGAATTATTAAATTCATATTCAGTTCTCTTTCGTAAGTCTTGTAAAAGCCTCTCATCTCTCTGCGGGGCATCACAGGGCAAACATGACATTCCAGTTAGGAAGGGATCAGAGGTGGCTCCAAGTGACATGACACACAGAGAACAAGCTCTTTGTTTCAATATTTTGCTCTGACATAATAACATGTTCCAGTGGCCTCACAAAGCGCTCAGACACAGAGGGGGAAGGAGTGTAAATCACTGATGGTTACACAACAAAGCAGCACAAGTGAGCCGAGCCTGGCAGGTGACAGGTGATTTATTTAGAGCTCCCTTCAGAATAATCCTGCTACAGCTGCACTTTCTGCTGGCAGAAACATGACAAATATGACAGAGAGATGAAAAATGAATTATGTTGGATTGGCTTGAAGGATGCCATGGATTTGCTGACTGTCTTTAGTTTCTAATGAGAATTGACTGCTTTGTGATTCCTGTGTTTTGGTGAAGGGCCAACGATTTACAGATTCAGAACTATTAGAAGATCAACAAGGATAAATGTTTGCATGAATAACAAGGAGAGCAAGTGCCACATGCTGCAAGCAGCTGCAAACCTGTCACTCCACTGCCTGCAAACAGAATGCAGCAGTAGTGCTGGGGCTGGACCAGCTATTCCTTGAAGATTTTTTTTTTTTTCACGCTACATAGCCATAAAAACATGGAAATAAGCAACTTGAGCCTCCAGGGTTTCCAGGGCAGCCTGAACCCACGCCCAGAACCCAGGGACACCTGGCCCAACTCTATGGGCTTCATTTGCTGTGCTTGCTGCTGACCCCATAATGGAAAACTCCCTGGAATTATGGACTTCAGATTTTGGGATCTGCAGATTGCAGAGACTTTACAAAGTTAACAGTTAGATGGATTTAGTGGATATTGCACCAGGAAAAAAATGCATATTTAGGTAATGAACAGTGCTGCCTTAACTCCTGAATAAGGAGGCCATGTGAATGGAGGGCAGATGGAGCAGTAAGAATCTCCTCAATGATCATGACATGCCCTGACACGCCACCTTCCCTCCCTTCCTCTCACTTCACAGCCATGAAATGGAGACACTCCACCAGCCAGCACCAGTCCAGTGCTCCCAGAAATGGCACGAAACGCCAGCACCGAGTATTTTGTTGTTGTTGTTGTGGACTAAATGAATTTTCTTCTCATTACCAAGGTGACCTGATTCCGAGTCCCTCACGCATGACTTCCCTGGGTTTTTGCAACAGGAGGTTCCCAGACACTGGGTGTGAGATGGATGAAAAGCTGCAGAGCTGGGCCGGAAGGGCAATCAAACCTCTGGTTAATTGGTGACCTCCATCCTCCCAGGCTGCTGCCCGGACCTCAGCTCCACCGGCAGCTCTCAAAGCCCCACAATTAACACAGCAGAGCCCAGTCCTGCCAAACGCTTTTTTCAGCTCCTAATTAAACATTTTCTGAGACAAATCAGACATGTGCACGGTGCCAGGGTTGGGGCCAGGATTGTATCATCTTCAGACTCCAGAATACTCGGGACAAAAGCAGGGCTGCCAAGAGTTCCTGAACTACCCAAGGATTCCCCATTTCCTCCTCAGGCTGGAGATCACCACTGGAACAAATGCTAGCCTGAGGACTGTAAAACCTGCCCAACAAATGCCTACTTATCAAGAGGGATTAGCATGTGTATATTAGTTGTTGGTTTCTTTAAGAAACAGAAATAGATTTGATAAATAGGCAACAACCAAGTCGCTGAGATTCCCATCATATCCTGCTGCAGGGAGTCCTCAGCACTTGGAGAGTATTTGCAACAAAATCTCCATTTTGAAGGCTAAATTACATTTTTGCTCGCTTTGCTCCTTTCAGCACCTGGCTCAGACAAAATACACTTATAAAACCCAATCTCAAAGAGCCCCCCTTGAGATGAATAAACAAGCAAATCCAACCTGAGAGCCAGCTGGAGAGCAGAACTGGGCAGTGGTTTGGGGTGGGAGAGCCAGGAAGTTGCCACATGACAACTTTATTTTCCCCCATCAAGTGCCTGAAGGGAGCTGCTGTCATTTTCCCCCAGTCCCGTGCTGTTGATGGGCAATAAATGCACTTTGAGCTTTCACTTCTTTATCAATTTTTTTTTGGCAGTAGACCAGGCTCAATAAATTCCAGTAGGTCCATTCAGAACTCCCTGTCATATCCAGTCACCACCCAAAATCAGAACCAGACACATCAGTTTTTAGTGGCTGAACATCTCAGCATATCAGTAACAATTATTCCGGGTAAGCCCCAAAATAATGATTAGACACACATTCAGCCACGTCCTTCAGTTTACAATTATATATAATTATCCCACATCCAACCAGCTGAGCTGCTCTGGATCTCTGAACCAAAGGAAACAATTGTACCCAAAGGACGTGACTTCAGCAACTCTGGCAAAATAAAGCAACAAATTATAAAAATCCTAATGTTTCTCCAACAAGGCATTAAGACGGCTGAAGGACACAGCACAGACATTTTGGAGAATGTTTCCAGAATGGTTCTTGAGGACCTTCATGACTGATCCTTGAGTTTCAAAGAGCCAGGGGAGTGGGAGATGATTCCAGGCAAAACAAGGACCTACCTTGGGTTTGTGGAACATATGGAGCCAGCAGCTTTGCTCTCTTCTTCTCATACCCCTTCTGTGTGATGTCCCCTAAAAACAAGCAAAGAAACCTCATTTAATCACATTGGAATTTTGCAATTTGAGGTCTGCTTGATTTTTTTTTTCAGTGCCATGAAGGTTTCACCTGAACACAGCTGAAGAAAACCTGAAACTCAATAAATCTGAGCACATTAGGATTTCAAAGCTCCATATTACAGAACTTGTGCAGTTTCCCTTGGGATCAGAGACCTACACTAGCCACTATTTAAATGCAATAACTTGGATCACAGCAGCTATCTAAACGGAATATCAAAACAGTGAAAAACTAAAAAGGGAAACTGGGAGTGCATGAAAATATTCTGTAACCACAAAACAACTTACGTGAAAAAAGTGGGATAATTCCCAACCAAAAGGGTGAAGGGGAAACTCAAGAGCCTCGTCTTCAACTAAACAAACAGCAAACAAAGCGAGTAGCAGCTGCTTAAGGGATCTCCAAAAATTGAGGTAAGGATGGACATGATCCAGGTGCCAGGGCCTCACCACCCTCACAGGGAGGAATTTCTTCCATATGTATAAAGTATTATATAATAATTATATAAATTAAACTTCCCCTCTTTCAGTTTGAACCCATTTTCCCTGTCCTGTCACTGCAGTTCCTGACGGATTGTCCCTCTCCAGCTTCCCTGTAGCCCTTTCAGACCCTGGAAGGTGCTGTGAAGTCTCCACAGCCCCTTCCCTTCTCCGTGCTGAACGTTCCCAGCTCTCCCAGCCTGTCTCCACAAGGGAGGTGCTCCAGTCCCTTTTTCATCAACCTCGTGGCCTCCTCTGGACTTGCTCCAACAGCTCCACATTCTTCTTATGGTGGGGGCCCCAGACCTGGACAGAAGGCTCCAGGTGGGCTGTCACAAGAGCAGAGCAGAGGGGAGAATCCCCTCTGAGTGATTATTATTAGAGTGATTACTCTAGAGACCAGAATAAGCAGTTGTAAACTTTTCCCTCTTTTAAAAAACTAATCTGTCTGATCCTGGAGATGCACCATCTGGCTGCTGTCTTTTGTTTTAATTTCTCACATTACATCAGAACCACAAGAAAGACTGGAACCTTGGAGGGATTAAAACAAACAGCCCTGCAGCATTTCCAGCCTCCTCGCAGCCCGCCTGGCACTCACAACTCCCATCTCCCAGGGATGGGGAGCCATCAAACACACAGCACGAAGAAAACAGAATTATTTGGTATCAAGCTAAAGTCAAGCCACAGTTACACGATGACAAGAAGTGAGTGATCACAAACAGGATGTTTTCTTTGCCGAGAGGGAGAGGGAGCAGCCTCAGCCCCGGAGCAGGGTTTGCCCCAAAGAGGATCCTACTGCCAGTCCCCTCCACACCACAAAAGGGGATTACAGGCTTCAGGCTCTGAGCCGCCCAACACCACCAATGTCTGCTCAAATATTCCAGCTGAGTGTCCAGTTTGGTTGCAAAGGTGATTTATGAAATTCCTGTAAGGGAATGGACTCCACTCCTTAGTGCTGGGCACTCAAACATCCGTGGCACTTCAGCACTGAGACCAGGAGTTTCAGAGCTGGAGTGGGACTCAGACTGACATAAGTTTAGGTAAGATACTGGGGAGAAACTCCTCCCTGTGAGGGTGCTGAGGCCCTGGCACGGGTTGCCCTAAGAAGCTGGGGCTGCTCAGTCTCTGGAAGTGCCCAAGGCCAGGCTGGCAGGGCTTGGAGCAAGCTGGGATAGTGGGAAGTGCCCCTGCCCATAGCAGGGGTGGAACAGGATGAGCTTTAAGGTCTCTTCCAACCCAAACCATTCCATGAGTCCATCCTTCTCTTACTCGTGCTGCTCAGGGCAGGGTGTGCATCTGCACACAGAATTTTATCTCACTCCTCCAACACTACGTTTGAGTCAGGCACAACAAGCCCAAACAAATCCAGCAGCTGCAGAGAAGAACGTCCAGAAGGCAGGGAAATGCCAAGCTGAGCAGTAACTGCAGTGCCTGGCTGCAGAGCAGAGCTCGGGTGATGCTCACCCTGCTCACAGGACAGGACAGGAACCTGCAGGGAGGGGGACACGTCCAGCTGAGCTCCAGCGTGCCCAAGCACCACGTGCTGAGTGACTGCAGGGCCTTCAAAACCCACCAGCTTTGCCTCCACTTTCAGATTTCAGAGAATTGTGGAATGTCCTGAGTTGGAAGGGGCCCACAGGGATCATCCAGTGCAGCTCCTGACCTTGCACAGACCCCCCAACAATCCCACCCTGGCATCCCTGGCAGCGCTGTCCAAGCACTCCTGGAGCTCTGGCAGCCTCGGGGCCGTGCCCATTCCCTGGGGAGCCTGGGCAGTGCCAGACTCTTCTGGGAAAGAAAAGAAAGATTCTTCTTTTCCTGATATTCCTCCAGTGGTTCCCTCATGTCCCTGGTCACAGGCAGCAGAGATGGGAGCTGCCCCTCGGGATGAAGCTGCAGCCCCCCATGAGTCTCCCCTCAGTCTCTTCTCCCCTCTTCTCTTCCCCAGAGCCCTCAGCCTCTCCTCCAGACCCTGCCCCATCCCCTTCTCCCCGCTTTGGACCCTCTCCAGCAGCTTCAGGTGTTTTTGACAGAGCTGAGGCCAGCCCAGAGCAGAGCGTGACCGTCCCCTCCCTCGCCCTGGCACCCCCAGGACAAGGTGACCCTTTGGGCTGCCAGAACACTCGTGTCCATCTGGGAGCCAGGGGATGGAAAACACAGGAAAACCCTGCAGGAAAACACAGGTACACAGAAAGGGGAGGGATTTCTCCTTATAAGCCAACCCAGAGGTTTGTTCAGAGGTTGTTATTCTGTGATTAATTTCTCCACACGATTTAATTGTACTCTTCACATTGGTGGTTACACACTACGTATAATGAAACATTTGCCACAGAAAATTGTTGGAGTTACTAGGGAACACAACACATACAAATAATGTAAGTGCATTATGAACAAATACCAGAACTTTACGTAGTAGTAGCACCCCATTCTGTTTCACAAGCTGGAAGCAGAGAATTCTCTCTAATTACTTGTTCCATATTAATATCCCACCAATAAAACAAACCCAGCCACACTGGAATGGAAGCAGAATGGTTCCTGGGCTTGATTTGGAAATCTGAAGCTGAGGTGAGATGATTCTGAGAAACAAGAAGCTAATTCAGGCCACAACACTGCCTGCAACCTCAACTGCCATGTGGTGCACATTGTTGATATTATTGTTGTAAAAAGGATTCTCTGAGCATAAGCCAATAAAAAAATAAAGCCTAATGCTACTTGGCAAAAGCAGGGAAGTTCCAAGGAGAATTATTCAAGCAATAAATATAAAAAAGCTGATAGATTCCTGGGTCTCCCCAGCAGTGCTCTGTCTTCCTAGTGCTGAATTTCCAATTCCATCTGAATTTTTATGTTGTTACAACATAAAAAAATAGATCAAACATTATCTTGACAAACAGATTGACAGTCTCAAACACCTGCACAGGATTTGGAAATGCAAAGCCTCAATTTTGAGACCAGCCCTACTGAAGTGGAACTGGGCAGCAGGGACTGCAAGGTTTGGGGAAGGAGATAAATCTGAGTTCTTTCTGGAGCACCATCCATGCAGGTGTGAACCAAACCACAATTACCTGAAATAAAGCTCCAGCAAGACACAGGGATTGTCCTCTTGGGAAAGACCTCATGTGCAGGCTTGGGTGGCAGGTGTAGTCACCTCTTGGACGTGATGATCTGACTACAGCAACCACAACTGTCATTAACAAATTGCCACGGCCTTTGACACACGGCACAGGTGGAATGAAATTATTGAATAAAACCTCTTTTCTGGTCATGCACAGTCCAAATTTGGTACCAATCCACTGACAGACACAAAAGAATAGCTAAGGGAGAAGTTTTCTTTCACCCTATTCCTTTTCTGCTGAACTACAGGAAATGGAAATGGCGAGATCTGGACACAAACGTGGATTTCCTCGTGGAACATCATAAATTACAGCCACAGGAAGTGCACCAAGACAATAGGGCTGCAAACCATTCACTCCTCTGACATAAACCTGGTCAATCATTCCACAAATAAAACACTCTGTGACACTTGGGGTGCTAAATTCTCCCAGAGAGCTCAAAACTCACCCTGAGAACCACAACCCCTCTCCAGGCAGATGCAAGACAGGGCACCACAAAGAAACACCAGCAAAGCAAATGAGAGCTGATAATTTGGCTATAAAATGGTGTTTGCTCATTCCCAAGGAAGAAATTAAAACACAAACAGTGTTGAGACTCTTCCTGGCTCCCTCCCAGCCACCACCCATTTCTGTTCCGTTCACTCTGTATTTATCTATATCCGCAGTGAGCGGAGGCTGAGCCTCCCCAGGCTGAGGCCCTGCCCAGGAAATGGGGTTCTGCTCAAAGGGAAGCAGCTTTAGGGGCTTTAGAGGAGAGATGAGGGTGAGCTGAGCTGCTGCTGGGCTGGAGGAAGAGGCTCTCCTTCCTTCCTGCCACCTCTGCTGCAGCGACAGCTCCGGTGCAGCGACGTCTTCAGCCTCCCCAGGTAAGCAGTGGCCTGGAACAAACCAGGTGTGAAAATCCCCCACACCACTAAAACCATCATCTGATTCTCCCAATTTCTTGGGAGAAGATATAGAATCGATCCTCATCGAGCAAATCCAGCTGGAATGTTCTGATCATTGGGAGCACAAGGGAAAGGATGAACTCACAATGACAGCAGCCAGGGAAGCCCAGGGCAGGACACCTGCTCAGGTGGATGGCACACCTGTATTCAAATCAAATCCCGCCCCACAGAAGAACACCTGATCAGGTGGATGGCACACCTGTATTCAAATCAAATCCAGCCCCAAGAAGGACACCTGATCAGGTGGATGGCACACCTGTATTCAAATCAAGTCCTGCCCCAAGAAGGACACCTGATCAGGTGGATGGCACACCTGTATTCAAACCAAATCCTGCCCCATAGAAGGACACCTGATCAGGTGGATGGCACACCTGTATTCAAATCAAATCCCGCCCCAAGAAGCCCCGGGAGCCTCACTCCC